CAATATCAGTTTCTATAGAGGTTTTTTAAATAGCAAGACACATCATCAACATCATCATCATTATACCCCTTTCCTTAAACTGAATAACCACTTGCTTTTTTCAAAATTTTTTAATTTTTTATTTTTTTTTAAATTTTTTTTTCGCATTTTTTCAAATTTTTTTTTTTTTTGCACCAATATTATCAATAAAATAATAACAATAAACAAATTGATTTTTTTTTTTTTCCACCTAAAAAAATAAATTTCTGATTTTTTTTTTATTGTATTTTTTTTTTAAACATCATCATTTTTAAAACGCATTATCTAATATATTTTTTTTTTAAATTATAAAGCCCCAAAAAAAAGAAATTTTATTGAAAAGAAAAAAATTATAATAACATAAAGCAGTAAATAAAATTGTTATTTGGTAAAAAAATGTCAGAAAGTTTATCACCAAGTCCAAGTAGTGATCCAATCACTTTATCCTCAGATAGGGCACCACAATCACCACAGTTCACAGTAAGTAGTTCATGAATAAAAAATTTCGATATGTTATAACATTTATTAATTATTGTATTTTTTTTTAGATTGGTAAAATGAAGGTTGATTTAAAAAGTGATGATGATAAAACAAAAAAGAGACAAGTAAGATTATTAAAGAATAGACAATCAGCAGCACTATCAAGACATAGAAAGAAAGAATATATTGCAAATTTAGAATCAAAAGCACAGGAATTAACTCATTCTACCCAAGAGTTACATATGCAATATAGTAGATTATCATCTACCTCTTTTGAACAAAAACTCGTTTAGAATATTTAGAAAGTAGTTTAATTGCAATAATGAAGCAAAATGATTTTTTAAGGAATAAATATGAAGAACATAAAAATAATAATAATAATAATAATAATAATATAAATATAAACAATAATATAAATATAAATAATAATAATAATAATAATAATAATAATAATAATAATAATCATAATCATAATAATAATAATAATAATAATAATAAACCGCCAATTATCCCACATCAACACCATAATAGACATGTACAATTAGTTTTAAATAAACCAGATTCACCAGTTTTGGTTTCATCATTACCATCATCATCATCCATTTCATCATCAGTTTCAATTTCATCATCATCCGTTTCATCTTCATCCTCCTCATCATCATCCACTTCATCACCAACTACAATACCAACTACCTTAATCAGAGAGGCTGAAAATTTATCATCATCTGATCCAAATAAAAAAGAAAGAGAGAGAGAAATTTTAATTGGTGTAAATAAAATAAAGTTAAATAATAATGGCAAAAGCTTAGATTGTAATATTAGCAGTATAATAAATGAAGAAAATATCAATACTAATAAAGAGGGTAGTAGTGAAGAATCTTCATCAAATTTTAACCATCACTTTTCCGGTCTAAGTTTTTCTAACCCAAATGTAAATTCCCAACCCATTTATTTAACAAGAGCTAGATCATCATCGTATCATCCATCAAATTTTTCACAATTTGAAGGAAACAACAATATAAATACTAATATCAGCAATAGTACTTCAATACCCACCGAGAGTTTATTAAATGCCACTGGCGCTGACCCATCCCCAAAATTACCATCCTTGTACCATTTAACCAACAATTTAAATCATTCACCATCCTCCAAAGCACCTTTAAATCCATTTCCTTCACCACTTTTAATCAATAGCAATAATAATAGTGGTGCAAGCAGTAACGATGGTGGATCCTCATCACCCAACTATAGAAATTCAATTATTGGTCTTTCAAAATTAAAACATAATTTTAATAGTAATGGTAACAATATAAATCCAATTTTGCCAGGAGTCCACACCAATTTTTCACATCCATTAAACCTCAATAATATTTGACATTAATCACTATTTTTATATATAAAAAAACCACCCATATGTATAAAATTATAAAATTAATCAATATTCTATTCTTAAAATTTTTTTAAAATAAAGAAATTTTAATAATATTATATTTTTAATTTATTTTTAAATAATAAATAACAATCAATTAGGTTTATCTTTTTTCAACTCGAAATAATATATCTCATAAATCTATTTATATTATTTTCTTTCAATTAAATTTAATTTTTAATAAAAAAAAAAAAAAAATTGTGTATAAAAAAAACTAATTAAATAAAGTTAATTGATTAAAGAAAAAAAAATAAAAAATTCATTATTGTTAATCTTTTATTAATTTTCTTTACCATTTATATTTATTTTTTTTTCTTCATAACCACTTTTTATTCTTTCTTCAAGTTCCTTTAAATATTTTTCTTGGTTGAATGGTTCGGGTTTTTTAAATACGCTGTCATAATCAAAAAGATTTGGATCGATATATTCTATTGTGGTATCATTTTGATTATTTTGATCATTAAAAATTGAATCTAAATCATTTATTGAGGCACTTTGTTGTTGATCTTGAATATTACTTTGATGTAGTTTCTTTAATTGTTGTTCTTGTTGTTTTTGAATTGCTTCACAATTTAAATCACCTTTTGGTAAAATTGGTCCTTTATTTTTCTTTTTATTTATAATACTTCCTTCACTATCTATTTCGATACTTGATAATAATGAATTTAATGAGTCAATCTATAATAATAATATATTTATTATTTTTATTGGTAAAAGTTTTAAAATTAGTGAGTTGATTAATAAAAGATGATATATATAAACTATATTATTTAGTATATATACTTACTAATTGTTGTTGTTGATATAATTTTCTCTGGTTAATATAATCTAATTCTTTGGAGATGTCAAAAAGTTTGAGTTGAGCAGCATGTACTTGCATTACAAGTTTGCTCTTTTCGATTGTTTTTAAAGAGTGTTTTTTAAATATTTCGTTTTTTAATCTTAATTCTTTTTCGTGTTCTTTATTTATTAAATCTAATGAAAAAGGTTTAAATAAATTTTTACCAAAAAATTTAACAAATGAAATTTGTTTTTTAACAAAAGTCGTTATTGAATTCATTTATTATAATTATTAATATATATATATAGGTTGTATTGTATGTATTTTTAGTTTCTTTATTACCCACACAAAAATAATGAAAAAAAATTTTGTAAAATTAAAAAAAAAAAAATAAAAAAATAAAAAAAAATAAATTTTTTATTTTTTTTTATTTTTTTTATTTTTTTAATATTACTTTATATTATAACTTTTTTTTTTTTTTTTTAGTATATGTACTTTTTTTCTTTATTTTGGTATTAAATTTGTTTTTTTTTTTTTTTTTTTTTTTTTTTTTCCCCCCTTTTAAAAAAAATCTTTTTGGGAAAGTTTAAAAAAGGGGAGGATCTTTCCCCCCCTTTAGTTTTGGGAAATATAAAAAAAAAGGGTGGGGGAAAAATTAAAACAAAAAAAAACCCGAATGTGGGTTTTTAATATTTGGGGGGGTAAAAAAAAAAAAAAACAATTCTTTTAGGTTTAAAAAACCCCTCTTCCCAAACAAAATTTTTTTTTTTTCAATTTTTTTTAAAAAAAAAACCCACCCTGGGCTCTTATTTGGTATTTGGGTTTGCTATTTGTTTTAACGAAAAAAAAAAAAAAAAAAAGTGTTGTGGTGGGTTAATAAAAAAAAAACCTCTTTTATACAATTAACAAATTAAAAAAAACAACAATAGTTCCTTTATATTCCCATTTAATATATATAAATTTACATAAACTATCACTATAAATTTTACAATTTTTTTTTTCTTTTTATTATTTTATTATTTTTTTTTCATATACATATTATAATAATAATAATAATAAATAAAACTAAAAAAAAATGATTTCATCATCAACATCAATTTCAAATAATACCAATAATAGAAGCGAAAATAATAGCGGAGGTAATTATTATATTATTTATATTTTTATACTTTTTATAATAGTTATTAATAATTTATTTTGTTTTTGAAATTTAGAAATTCTTTCATTAGCTTTATTAAATCAATACGAAAAACAAAAAGATAAAGAGGATGCATTAATAGTGTTAAATCCAATAACATCACCATTTAAGGTTTTTAATAATGTTCCAAATCAACATAGTTCATATGGAACTGCAAATTCGATTGCAATCGGTTCAAAATTTTATATTATTTCAGCGGCACCAATTTTTGATTCATATAGTGGCGATTTTAAAAAAGAGATTACAATGTCCATTGGGTCTTCAAATGAACAATTAAAGATTATAAAGTTGTTTGTTGTAGAATCAATAAATATAGCAATAACATATTCAATACATAATTTACCATTCATTACAAATTTTATAAACGAAATTGGTAGGGTCAGAGTAAAGCAATTAAGTAATACTAGTCTCTATAGCGAAATTTATAAAGAGGGTCAAAGGGTCAGAAAAAATGGTATGGGATCAGGGTTTACTAGCGGCATAATCATAAAGAATCTATCTCATTTAATTTTATTAAATCCAGAGTTTGCCAAAGGTGGTGATGGTGGTTCATTGGTGGTTAATGACGATTCTTTAGTAATAGGTGTTGTTTTATCAGGAAATCAAAATCATGTAATTGCAGCAAAAATTGATATTTTTAATTCTTTATTTGAAAATAAATAGATATATAAATAAATAAATAAATAAATAAATAAATAAATAAATAAATAAATAAATAAATAAATAAATAAATAAATAAAAAAAAAATAAAAAAAAATAAAATTAATAAAAATAAAAATTTCCTTTAAACTTAATTTTTTAGAAATCTTAATTTTTTATTTTTTCGAATTTTAAATTTTTTTTAAAAATATTATTTTTCAAATTTTTATTTTGGTCATTAACAAAAATGTTTAGTAGTAATAGTAATAGTAATAATAAAGATAGTAATAATACAGAATCCACAAAAGAGTGTGATAATAAGAATTTTTTCAGTGATCTAGTGGTTCGTCCATGGGAAGAGTTCTATTCAGATCAAAATGGTTACAAGTACCCTAGGGATACGAATCACCAAAATGAAAGATCAAAATATAATCTTAAATATTATAAAGGAAACTATATTTCACTTTCATTTCTTTATTTAATTTGTTTAGGGTTAGTTTTTTAAAAAAAATAAAAATTAATAATTCATTATATTAATATTTTGTATAAATAGATTTTACTATATAGAACTCTTTAAATTATATATATTTGCAATGGTGGTCGGTTCATACGAGTTTGACTACAGAGTTTCTAAAGGAGATAAGCCCCACATCTCATCTGGAATATTTTGGTTGTGTAAGTTAATTTTTTCTATGTTTCATTTTACTTTTTTTTTTTTACAATTAATATTAATATCAGTCTTTTATTCTCAAAGCATTTTTATTAGGGGTTTTTTATGGAGCTGGTATATATCCATTCATTTATTCATTTAGTTTTTGGGTTTTAATATATTTTCACTCAATGACAAGAAAAAGAGGATTAATTAATAATATTAAAAATTTAGTTGGTAAATAAATTTACCTATTGTATTTAATTTTAAAATAAATAAAGAAAAATAAATGAAAAAGTTTTTTATTATTTTTAATTATTTTTATTGTTTATTATTATTTTATATTATTAATGTTTTTCTTTAGCTAGAGCTCTTTTGGCCTCAGCTTCATCTGGTGAAGTGGTGGTTGATGGTTTAATTCCTTTAGCAATTCTTTCTTTTAAATCGGCTTCAGCCAAACGGAAGGCATTAGCAAAAGATGGACGGCTTTCAACTAATTTCAACCATTTTTTAATGTTTGGATATAATGTATCCCAACCTTCGACCATTGCATTAAATTGAATGTATAATACCCAACCATAGGTCGAAATATCAGCAATAGATAGTTCATTACCACCCAACATATGGTCTGGTTGATAAACGTCCATCTAGAACTTTAAACATTCTACGTGCCTCTTTTGAATAACGTTCAATAGCAATTGGTATTTTAGTTTCACAATAGTAACCAAAGTATGATAGCTGACCAAGATATGGGCCTATTATATTTAATAATAAATATTATATTATTAGTTTTTTATTGAATCAAATATTTAAGTAAAATTTACATACCTAATGTGCTAATTTGCCATGCTAGCCATTGTAAAACTTCAGTACGTTCTCTTGGATGGGTTTTATTATCAGGTAATAGTTTCCCATACTTTTCAGCTAAATAAATTAAAATTGCACCAGATTCAATAACGGTAATTGGTGGTTCGACAGTATTATCAATAATTACAGGAATTTTATTATTTGGATTAATTTTTAAAAACTCTTCAGTAAATTGTTCATCATTGATGATATCAACATGATGATAGTTGAAGCTGAGTCCTAATTCATCAAGGATAATAAGAATTTTCCATGCATTTGTCGAAGTATAACCATAGAATTCAAAGTCTTTTTTATCAGTACTAGAGTTGTTTGTTGTTGAGTTTAACATTTTATTTATTTATTTAATATTAATTTTTATTTATTTTTATATTTTTAATTTTATTTATTTATTATATTAATTTATTAAAATTTTGGTTTTTATAATTTTTTTTTTTATTGGTGTTATTTATAATTTAGAAAAACCCTGGTAAAAAAGTGATCAAATTTTTGTGTGTCGTAATTATTATTTATATTAATAAAAATCAAAAAATTGATGAAAAGATTTTTTTTTTTTTTTTTTTATTGTAAAAACCGGTTTGTTAAGTATTTTTTTAAAAAAAATTAATGGGTAAAAAAAAGAAAATCGGTGCATTTTTTTTTTTTTCTCCATATTAATTTTTTTTTTTTTAAAATTTTTTAAATTATTGTAAAAGCCGGGTATTTTTCTACTTTTCCCTGATATTTTTCTTCTTTTCCTAAGATTTGACCGGCCAAGTTTGCCCACATATTTATATTAAAATTTAATGCGAAAAAAAGCTAAAAATTTGGTGGTTTTTTTTGTTATTTTAAATTTGCTCTCACAATAATTTCAATTTGAATTTTTTTTTTTTTACTATATTTTATCATTTAGTTATTATAAATAGTTTTAAATAAAAAAATTATATAATATTCATTTTCATTTTTCCACCTCTTCAATAATAAAATGACAATCATAAATATTTTTTATTCACCAAAAAATTTTATTTTAGTTCATGCAGAGTATAAATAAACAGAAGCTATCCCCTATACTTCCTAGCTGTCGGTGAAGCCTTAATTTCTTTACTCTTAGACCAAGTTCGCTTTCAGATCTAACCCCAGTTAATGAAAGCTCTTCTATTTGTTTTAATGATTATTATATATTTACCTATTTATTAAAGGTTTTTGGTACAGTTAGTTGCATAAATTTTGCAACAGACATATTATTTTTGCAATTTATATAATAAAACTTTATGGTTTAAATTTTGGATTTTCTGATTAACATAAATAAAAATCATTTAATCTATACTTAAATAAAATATATTTTAAATGTTGTATGAAAAAAAATATTTTTTTTTTATTTTTTTTTTTTATTATTATTATTTCTATGTTGCAAAATTTTAGAATAAAGATTTTGAGTAAAGGTTTTTTTGAAATTTTTTTATAATAAAATTATAGTTTATTAATATTTAGTGAATTCACCTCTATTTTGAATTATTCTATTTATTCCGGTTGAAATTGATTCATTTAATTTATTTAAAATTGATTGTTCAATATTAAACCAAAAAAGATGAATTGATTCATCGAAAGGTTTACGAGGTTTGGCGATGCGACGTTGAACTATACTTTTTTTTAAGATTGGCCATAGGTTTTCTATTATATTTAAATCTGGTGAAGAGGGTGGAATAAATTGTACCCTAATGTTATTTTCTTCATATTGAAGAATATTTTTTAACAGCAGCTGATTTATGGACAGAGCAGTTATCTTGAAAAAGAGTGACTTTAAAAAAATCAATTTCATAGTCTTTTAATGTTTCCATATATTCATCCCCATTACATTTATGTAGGTATCGCCATCCATGTTACCATTAATATAGGCTCCACAACCAAACTCATCAAATTAATGCAACCCCAAAAAAATTTTGAAATTACAGATGGTCTTTTTCTTTTTAAAATATTTTCTTCTTTCATTAACTGCCCTGAATCCATCTTTTATGCCTCTATTTTTAAGAAAATCTTACAATTTTGGTTTCATCTGCTAAAATCACCTGTTTCCAATTTACTGTGGTATAATTTTTAAATTTTTTTACCTAACTATACCTTTGCATCTCAGTTTCTTTTATAAAATAATGCTTGCGTTACAAATAATTATAAAAAATGTTTTGTCTCTTTAGAATTCTTCTAATTGTTGAAGTTGAAAGTTTAGGTATACTTATGCATTATTTGATTGACCATTTAGTATGTATTTTCTGCAACTCATATAGTAATTATAACGGTAATTGCATTTATTGATGTACCACCTATTTGTGTATTTCTTGCACATATTTCTATGAAAAGTAATTTTGATTATTTATTTTTATTTGTTTTAGTTTTGGTTATTTTATTATTATGTTTGTATTTCATCGATAAGGTTTTGTAGCTTTCCGGGTGTATTAGTATTTAAAACTAAAAATATATGCATTCCATATCTTGCTAAATTTTTTTAACTTGGGACTATTTTCATTGGGTGGTTTCAATACCTAGATCTCAATTAGTTTAACTTCTCTTTCCATAAAACAAGCACATGGGAATATTTGGTTTATTATTTCTTGTACCGATGTATTGAACAATGGTCATCTGAAGAATATTTGTTCTAAATATTCTTTGCCTGGGCAGAACGGGTATCGGGATTAGAAGATCTTTTGCAATGATTTAAAGTTTAATCTTTTTTTATTATTTTTTTTCCACCTAATTTATAACTGTATTATATCAGTACCACTGTGAAACATTAGCTTAGTTGGAAAAGCGTACGACTTCGAATCGTAAGATCAAGAGATCGAAACTCTTATGTTTCATTTTTAGGATCGGGCCGATAAATTATCTTCCCGGAGATTTCAATTTTAAAATTTACATAAAAATCATTTATATATTCAAATTAGTTTTCAACTCTTGCAATAAAAAAAGAAAAAAAAAAAAAATAAATTTTGTTATTAAAAAACACTCTTTTTTATGAATATAATAATTTAAAGCTTTTTTTTATTTTATTTTATTTTTTCTTTTTTTTTTTTTTTTTTTAATTTTTTAAAAAATTTTTCTAATAAATTTTTTTTTTTTTCATTGTGCAACAATGATATTAAATAAAGATAAAAAATTAATATACAAATCAAGTTTAATATTTTTTAATAATATTATTAGGAATAATACCAAATATTTAATCAATAATAATCAAAGTTATAGATTATTTTCTGCATCATCAAAAAATCAAAATAATAATGATAATTCATCATTAAAAAATAAAGATAAAATCAATAAAATTAAAATTAAAGGGGATATTAAGGATTTAAATATACCAATATCAACAAAATTATCATATAACGAAGAAGAATATGAATTTAATGAAGATGATGTTGAAAGAGAATACACCCCGGACGAAGAGGATCAAGATGAAGAAAAAGGAAAAGAGATAAACAAAAAAGTCAATAAAAAAGCAAAAGAAACACCAGCAATGGCCCAATATAATCATTTTAAATCATTATATCCAGATGCTATTTTATTATTTAAATTGGGTGATTTTTATGAATTATTTAATCAAGATGCAATTGAATCAAGTAAAATTTTAAATATTACTGTAAGAAGATTAAATTAATAAACTATTTTTTAAATTATAAATTTTTAATTTTTTTTTAAAAGTTAACAACTAAAAGAATAGGAGAAAATAAAAGTATGGGCATTCCAATGTGTGGATTTCCAACACACTCTTCAGATATACATATTGAAAAGTTAATTAAAGTTGGTAAAACTATTGCAATTTGTGACCAGGTTGAAGATGCAAGAGAAGCTAAAAAGAATGGAAGAGTTATTAAAAGAGAAGTTGTTAGAGTTATAACACCAGGAACCATTTTCGAAGAAAGATTTTTAAAATCATCACAAAACAATTATTTATGTAATTTTTTACCAGTTAATTATCATCAAAAAGATTTTAGTAACCAAGTTTTGTATAATAACACATCAAGATTTTCAATATCATGGTTAGATCTCAGCACTGGTTACTTTTATACAACAGAGACAACATACGACAACTTATTATCAGAGCTTACTAGAATTTCACCCAACGAAATCTTATTACCAAAAAGTTTAATTGAAAATCCATCAATTTCAAAATTAATAAAGTCATTTAATATTAGCACAGAAAGTGATGAAATATTCAAGATTAAAAATACTTTATCAAAATTCAATGAAACTTATAATCTAAATTTAAATTATAATCAACTAATCAACAGTAATGGTTTTTTTGATGGAACATCAGAAAGAAATTTCTCAATCGATGAATTAAATTCTTCAGGTTCAATTTTAAATTATGTAATTAATACTCAAATGGGAAATATACCACATCTGTATCCATTGAAAAAGTTTAGTTCAAGTAATACAATGTCAATTGATTTTTCAACAATGCAATCTTTAGAAATTATTAAAACACTTCAAAATCAAAAAAAAGGTACCATTTTAGATTGTTTAGATAAAACTTTAACAAGTTCTGGTAGTAGATTATTATATTCAAGAATACGTAAGTAAACTAAAAAAATATTCAAAATATTAAACTTTATATATTAACATTATTATTATTTTAGAATCCCCAAGTTTAAATATAAATGAAATTAATAATAGATTAAACTTAATAGAGTTCTTTTATGAAAATTTAGATATTACAAAAGAGATAAGAAAATTATTAGTAAGATGTTTAGATTTAGAAAGATGTTTACAAAGAGTTTATATTTCAAAAGCAGGTCCAAGAGATTTATCCGGTATAGGTTCAACATTGGCAATTTCAATGGAAATTAAAAGAATTTTGGATGAAAGGATTAAAAAGTTAAAACCAACACCACAAATTAATAATTTGGTAGAGAATATAAATAATAAATTAAATGATTTTAAACAACTATTACTTTATTTATCATCAGCTTTAGTTGATAATCCGCCATTCAATACATCAGATGGAAATTTTATAGAAAAAGGTTATTCAAAAGAGTTGGATAATACAATTAAGGCCCGTGACAATAGTAAAGAGCTAGTTCAAGAGATTCAAAAAAAATATAGAGATCAATTATCATTACCATCACTTAAAATCAAACACAATCAAATTATTGGTTATTATTTCGAAATTCAGTCCACTTTTAAAAACAAAATTCCATCAAATTTTATTCATGTTCAAACATTATTATCTCATATGAGATTTAAGTCTGAAGATCTATTAAAGTTGGAAGATGAAATAAATATTTCAGTTTCAAAAGCGTTGGAGATAGAAATCGGGTTATTTAATCAACTTTGCAAATTAACTTTATCGTTTGGTGATCAAATTAAAGAAACTAGTGATGTTTTATCAATTATCGATGTTTCAACAACTTTGGCATTAATTGCAAAAGAAAGACTTTACGTTAAACCAATCATCAATGAGACAAAATCTTTAAAGGTTATCAACGGTAGACATCCAACTGTAGAGTTGGTTACAAAGAATTTCATTTCAAATGATTTGGTTTTAAATGATGACAGCAACAACCATGAAAAGGAAGATGAAACATTACTATGGTTAATTACAGGTCCAAATATGGGTGGGAAATCAACATTTTTACGTCAAAATGCAATTATTATTTTAATGGCCCAAATGGGTTCATATGTTCCAGCTGATTATGCCGAAATTGGTATCGTTGATCAAATATTTAGTCGTGTAGGTTCAAGTGATGATTTATCAAATGACAGGTCAACATTCATGGTAGAAATGGTTGAAACAGCTCAAATTTTAAAGAAAGCAACAGATAAATCTTTTGTAATTATGGACGAGGTGGGAAGAGGAACCAGTACTTTGGATGGTATATCAATTGCCCAATCAGTCATCGAACATTTGGTTAGTGATAATAAATCTAGAACTTTATTTGCAACCCATTACCATGAATTAACTAAAAAGCTAAATCAAGAGCAAGATCAGTTTATATCTAAAAAAATAAAAAACTATTGTTGTATAATCAAAGAGCACCAAGGAGAAATTTTATTCGCTCACAAAATTATACCTGGGATTGCAAATAAATCTTATGGTATATATTGTGCAAAATTGGCAAATTTACCTGAAAAGGTTTTAAATAGAGCAAATTCAATTTTAACAAATTTAGAAAACAACAATAAACTATTCTAATAAAAAGAAAAAACAATCAATTATAATAATTATTCCACCAATTTTTTTTATTTATTATTTTTTTTAAAAATAAAATTTTTATAATAATATTGAAATTATTAAAAATACTAATAGAGATAAAGAAATTGAAATTTTAAGAGAACCATTGCCAGCTGGTGATTCTGTTGGATTGTTAGATGTGGTTTCTGTTGGTTTTGGTGTGGGAGATGGTGATAATGATTGTGTTGGTTTGGGTGTGGTAGTTTCATTAGGTGTTTCTGTTATTGTGGGTGTTTCTGATGGTGTTGGTGTAGTGATATTTTTAATGTTGCTACATAATACACTGAAGCCAGATTCACCAATTTTGATAAAATCATTGGATGGGACTAAACATGTAAAGGTATATATATTCCCCCTTTTATCATTACATTCATTAAATTGGGAAAAATAAATAATATATTCATTAAAAAAATATTTGGAATATATTCTAATGTAACCTTGACAACCACGTTTGCATTCAGATAATTCTACTATTGAATAGTCACCCTCTTCATGGGTTCTACAAAACTCTGGGTCTCCATCTTTTTTAATATGAAAATAGTTATATTTAAAGCTTTCTTCTTGAGACTTGACAGTAATTATTGAAATAAAAATTAAAATTAAAAAACTATATATAAATTTCATTTTTAAAAACTATAAAGTATAATATTAATTAATGAAGGTTTAGATGAATAATAAAACTTTTTTTTTTTTTTATTTTATAATTTTTTTTTTTATTTTATAATTTTTTTTTTTATTTTATAATTTTTTTAACAGGTTTGTTTTTAAATATTAATAGAACTATAGGTCTATTCAGATCATTCAAAGAAATATTATACTAAATTTAACACCCATGTTTTATTTTCTTTTTTAAAAGTTTTTTAATGCGGTGTGTTTTTTTTTTTTGGGGGGGGTTTGAAAATTTTGTAAAATCAATCATTTTTTAATAGTTTTTAAAGTTCATATTATTAGTATATTACAAATTTGGATGCAAAGAATGGTTTTCATTTATTATTATTAGAAGAATCAACTCGTAAAATGTACAGAATTTCAAGCAGGTTTATAAATTTAATTGATTCATCTTAAAACCTACCTGAAATGCTGTATATTTACGACTTGATTCTTTTATAAATAAGAGTTCCATTTGGTTTAAAGAAATCACTGCATATTTCAATGAATGGATACAATATATTATTGAAGAATTTAGAGAATATATAAAATCCTAAGTAGACGATATTGTTATTTATTCAAAGACATTAGATGAATATATAATAAACATTACAATTAATATTTTTAATTTTATTTTATATATATATATATATTTTATTTTTTTATTTACAACACCCAATAAATACATAGATAATTTTTATTTAATGTTAATTATGCTGTTGTTGAGTATTGCTAGTATTTAAGGTTTTGAAATCGTAATTGCATACTTTATAATCTATATTCTTTCTTGAAGACTTGAGTTGTTCATAAATCAATCGGTTTGGTGTGTCTTTAATTTTTGAGAATATATATGTGCATTGAAAATCTAAATATTACCATCCTTTATTTTATCTTTTAAAATTGCATCACCGTTGGTAAAGTTTTTTATAGTAGAAGTGAGTTTAAATAAAGATTCATAACCGTATGCTTTATTTAATATTTGAAATTATTTTTTTGAAGATTATTAAGTTCATAATATTAATAACTGATGGATTTATTGTTATGTTTCTTTATCAACTGTACCACGAACTAAAATATATGATTGTTTAAAACCATGATTGGTAATACATAGTACAATATTTTTTATTTTTTTTAGTGATTTTAATATCTTTAAATCTGAAACAAATGGTCCAATAAAATCAATATCTAAAAATAAAATGAAAAATTAATATTTATATTATTTTGTAGGGTAGAAAATTTAGTTTATTTTTTGAAAAAAAGGGTTTCTAAGTTCGGGGTCTATAAGTTCCATTTTTAAAGTCAATTTCTAAGTTTTAGTTTTTTTTTTTATTTTTCTAAGTTTTAAAAACAAAAAAAAAAGTTTTTAATTTAAAAAGTGTTTAAAAATCAATAAAAAAACAGTTAAATCATAATCAATTAATATATATAGTAATGTGTGGTTGTTTCCCCCTTTTTTTTTTTTTTTTTATATTTTTTTTTAATTTTTTTTTATTTTTATTAATACACATAAATATTTTTAAATATATTTTATTACAATATAGCAGTTATATAATTAAGCGCAAAATTTAAAATTAAAAATAAATAAATTTAATATAATTTTTTTTCTATAAATACTTCAAAATTTTTATTTATATATCAATATCAAAATTTTTTAATATATATAAAAATATAAAAAATTATTATATTTTAAAAAAATAAAAATAAATTAATAAATAATAACATTAATAAATATAAAATTATAAAAAATAAATATATTTTAATATTAATAACTTAATATCAATGGAAGGAACAAATAAAAGACCTATTACCACAAGAAATTCAATTTAAGATCTAGACAAAAAGCTATCAACATCCATAGCATTAGATATCATTTTACAATTGGTTAAGTATATATTTATATTATTATTTAATTTATTGATTAAAAAATTATACTAATATCTTATTTTTAATAGATGGTAAATGTTTAGCAGCAAAAAAATATAGAGAAAAAAACAATCTTTCAAATGATACGATAAATACTCTAGATTATCACTTTGCCAAAGAGAGGGTATATAGAAACTATGATGAACCTTTAATTTAAATGCTTTTTGAAGAAAAAAAGAAACAAATACATATTTCAAAGTATAAAGAAATCCAAAAATACTTAGAAGAAAGTTTAGATCATAGAAATGATACAATAAAATATTGGAAAGAAAATAGTATTGAATATCCAACATTATAATCAATTATAAGAAATGTACTTTCAGTTGCTTCTTCGTCCGTTGAAATTGAAAGAACATTTTCGGGTGCTAAGTTGTTGGTTACATGTAGACAACAGATCAAATTTGGGTTGGGAAAGAATAGAACAACGTGTGTTATTAAGGGAATGGGCAAACATTTCAAGAGAAGATATTGTCAAAAACTCTATCTTTTATAATTATTCAAATATTTCAAAAATGGAATGATTAAATAAAATTTTACAAGAATTTTAAATTTTTTTCATACAAAAAAATAATGTAATTCTAGGTTTTTTTTTTTTTTTTCTAAGTTTCTAAGTTTTTAAAATGAAAAAATTAGTCAAGTGGGTGGGTGTGGGAGTGGGGGAAACTCAGAAATTTTTTTTTTTTTAGTCAAACTTAGCTAAATTTTTCTCCCTATTATTTTGTAAATAGGTATGGTATGATTTAAATGTGTGTATAAACTTACTTTTTGATTGTGAAAATCTTAAATGATATTCATAAGGTAATGCAAAACTTTTTGAAGTTATTATTACTACCCAAAGAATCCATGAAATTGTAAAACTAATAAATTCAAACTGTTTTGAAGTTGAATTGTTGAATTAACGGTATCATTCTTTTCATTGGCTCTATAATCATAATATATAAATGTAACCATACTTTCTTTAGCATTGGATAATTATCTAGTGTGTAGTAAACATTTTATTTGATTCTCTATTATAGTACATTCAATAAATGATGATAAATTTAATAAAAAAAAAATTTCAAAATTAATTTTTTTAATTTATTTTTAATTTTTTTTTTTTTCTAAAAATAATTCTGCAACACCATAAACATTATTTTATTATAAACAAAATAAAAATAATACACCCACTTGAATTGGTATGTGATATAATATGAAATATTTTTTATTTTTTTTTTTATTAAAATCTAAAATAAAAATGAAAACAAACATAATTTTTTTCTTTTCTTTTTTTTTTTCATTTTCTTAGAGAAATAAATAATAAAATAATAAAGGTTATTATATCAATTTTTTAATCTTATTTGTTGTACCACTAGAAATAATTTATTCTTATGTAAATCGAATAATTATTAATTTAAATATACATCGTATAATGATAAAAATCAATAAATTTTTTTTTTTTTTTTTTAAAAATCATTTTTAAAATGAAATAGTTAGTATAATGTTTTGGATATCATTTAAAAGAAAATTAAATAAAAAATCGAAATAAAATTAAAAAAATGATCAATAATCAGTATAAAAAAAAGATATAAACTAAATTATTACTTTATAATTATTTTTTTTATTTTTTTCAATATATTATAAAAAAAATTAGAATTTTCAAAACAGTTCTTTCTTTTTAAAAAATTTTTTTTTGTATTTATTTGAATTTTTTTTTTTTTAATTTTTAAATTTCATTACTGAAACAAATTATTACAATCATAATAAAATAAAATGTTTTCATTAATGGATTTAGTTTTCTATTTTTTTGCAGTTCTAGTTATTTTTTACTGTATATTTTCAACCAATAATAATTTTAATGATCAAATGAACCAACAAACTCAACAACAAACCCAACAACAAAACCAACAACAAACCCAACAACAACACCCACAACACACCCCAACAACCCATTACAGTTTAGTTGAAAATATAGATCAAATAATTCAACAACAACAACAACAACAACAAAAACAAAAACAACATCAACATCATCAACAACAACCACAAATCACTCCAACAACCTATTCTAATTTTGATGAGGGAATAGATAAACAAAACCAACAACAACAACAACAACAACAACAACAACAACAACAACAACAACAACATCAACACCAATATCAACATCACCATCAGGATCATCATCAGCATCAACATAATCATAAAAAAAGAGCATATGCCATGGACACAAAACAAGATATTGAAAGAAGAGTAAAACAAAAGGTCCATGAGGCTTGGAATATGATTGATGAAATAGAATCAAAAAGATATAGAACAGATTATAATGGTCCAACTCTTTTATTGACAAATTTCAGCGAAAGTGAACAAATGATAAAAAATAAAAGAGAAAAAGATGAAAAGAGACGAAAAGAAAAGGAAAGAAAAAGACAAAAACAAATTGAAAAGAGAAGAAAAGAAAAAGAAAGGAAAAGACAAAAAGAAATGGAAAAAGAAAATAGAAAAAAGAGAAAAGTAAGGGATAAAGAAGGAGATGGAAGAGATAAAAAAAAGAAAATTAAATTTTCGCAAAATGAAGATCAATGATGGATGAAGAGAGTAATTATTCATACATTGGGGGTTCCATATATTCCATTAAATCGAGGTTCAGTATTTTCTTTATAATTGTGCTTTTCAAGTAATTCATTAAACACTGGAGTTTTTTTTCAGGTCACCATCAAACATTTGGGGTTTAATTTCTTCTTTTTAATCGGTGTTTTCAAGACATTCATCAAAATTTTGGGATTCAGTATTTTCTTTTTAATCGGTGTTTTCAAGTCATTAGTAATACATTGGGGTTTTCAAGTCATTCATCAAACATTGAGGTTCAGTATATTCTTTTTAATTGGGGTTTTCAAGTCATTCATCATACATTTGGGTTGTTTTTCAAATCTTTCATCATACATTGTGGGTTTATTAAGTCATTCAAACGCTGTGGTTTTTTCAAATCGTTCATCATACATTGTGATTTTCAAGTCATTCATTAAACATTGGGGTTGTTTTTCAAATCGTTCATCATATATTGTGGGTTTCGATTCATTCATTAAACATTGGGGTTGTTTTTCAAATCTTTCATCATACATTGTGGGTTTATTAAGTTATTCAAACGCTGTTGTTTTTTCAAATCGTTCATCATACATTGTGGGTTGTTTTTTCAAATCTTTCATCATGCATTGTGGGTTTATTAAGTTATTCAAACGCTGTGGTTTTTAGTTCGTCAAACATTGTGGGTTTTTACTTCATCAAACATTGTGGGTTTTTTTAATTCATTAAACACTGTGGGTTTTCAAGTCATTCATTAAACATTAGGGTTGTTTTTCAAATCGTTCATCATTCATTGGGTTTAGTTTATTCTTTTTAATTGGGTTTTTTAAGTAATTTATCAAGCATTGGGTTTTTTCAAGTCACCCATTATTTATTGGGGTTTACTTAATTCTTTTTAATTGTGGTTTTCAGGTCATTCATCATTCATTGGGGTACTTGTACTTTAAAGGTATTTATAAAGTTAATATTTTTATAATTGTTATTATTATTTTTGAATATAAAAGAAACTAATATTTAATTTTAAAACTTAAAAAGATTAGAATACTTTCTATTTAATAATTATAAATATAAATATAAATAATATAACGAAAATGATAATAATGAAAATAAAAATGATAATAATATCAATAATAATCACTTTCAAATAACGATTATAATAATAAAACAAAAAACAAAAATAATGGATAAGATTATATTATAAATAATAATGCAAAATTCGATCCAGACAAGGAAAAAGATAATAGAGTAAATAATATTAATATGGAATAATAATCATCAAAACAATCATGTCATATAAAAATAAGAAAAGTAATGCATCCAACTCTATTCATTCATCAATTCTTTATGCCTTCCAAATCTAAATCCAAGTTAATCAATTTGAAAAAAATCGAAATTTCAATTCTAAAATCTATTTACTCTGAATTAATTGCATTCTTTCCTATAAAGTTTATTTTCAACAATGGGTTTATTCTATCATCATTTATCAATTAAATACCATCAACAAAAACAATTAACACTTTCATCCGTTTCATTAAGTACAAATTAATGTCATTTGGTCACAGATCCGGGTCAACCTTTATCATCAATTTTATCATTTATTATTATTATATAGAATTAAAAATTCTCCATCCCTAGTTAATTTCTATTCATTATCAAAATAAAGATCTTTAGTTTAAAAGCTTATTTAAATTTTTTAATAAAATAAATTTTTATTGTTTTTTATTATAAAAACCATATGGTAAATTTTTTCCATCTTGTTTGAAATCTTTTCTAAAAGTAATTATTATTATAAAAGTGGATGCATTAAAAATAAAATACAATCACTAAACTACTGCACATAGACGTATCACGATTAAATAAAGCATACCAACAGTGAAGCAGTTTTAAAAGATAAAGAATGTCAAATATTTAGCTTTTCAATGTACATATATATATTCCCAAACATTAGCAAAGACACACCATCAAACCAATTGATTTATGACCAGTCTTCAAGAAAGATTAAATATTGTAAAGTATGCAATTACGATATCAAATATTTTGGTATTGAGGATTTTAAAACCCGATAAAAGAATGTTTGTGCAACTAAAAAAACACTTTTAAGATCAGCAAATTCTAAAGTATCAAATTACACCCTTTACAACCCATCTCAAAACCTCTAGTAATACTCAACAACAGCATAGTTCAGAGGAGAGAAACCAAAATAAAAAAGATTTGATGTTTGGTCATTTATGTTCTTTAGCTCATTATTAAAGTTATCAACAACTAACTTTACAGATGATCGTAAGAGATTGGTAGTTAATTTAGTTTCATTTAAAGGTGGAGCCAATGCATTATCAACAAAAGCCGGTGCCGATTGATTCCAAAAAGAAAAGAAATATTTAGAGGGCGGTTTCGACCTCGATGATATTGCCGAAAGAGAATTATTGGCTGCTAAAACCATTGAAGATGTCGCCAACTCTTAATTGGCTGCAAAGTCAAAGAAATAAAGAAAGAAGAAGATGCTCCTGATGTCACAGAAACTATTCTTGAAGTCGCTTTGGCAACTACTAGTGCTACATCAACTTTGGTCGGTGCTACGACATTGTCTCAAAGAGAACGTGTCGAAAGGTAGAACTTGTGATGGTGGTCCAATGTATATAATTAATTTCTACTGCTAAAGCTTTTGCTGCCGCAACCAAAGCATTGGTAGATAAAAAATAATATAAAGTAAATATGTAAAATCCGATTTAAAACACAAAAGAAACTCAATTTAATACAAAGTTATTTAAAATCATAAATAAAATTTTAGACCTTATTTTTAAATAAAGTATTTCTTTTTTTTAATCTAAAATTATTAATTTGCTTAAAAACAAATAAAACTTTTTATTTCTTTAAAGAAATTATTATAAATTGTAAATCTCAATAATTTTATAAAAAAGATAATTTTATTTATTTATTTCCACTTTTTTTTTTTAATTTTAATATCTTTTGTGGAACTGATGCTTATTGATATAGCACGAATTTGACTATTCCATTCAACGAGAAGAGGACATGAATCAATAGTATAAATCTTGATTTGAATTATCTTTCCAAAATCTGAGATTTTCACCTTTCTTAAGATTTCGAAAAAATTTACTATGAAGATCTGCTTTCTTTATTTTCCAAAGGGGTAATGGTGGAATCTGGGCCTGGTTTGATACCTAATAAACTTGCTCTTTCTGAATACAAAATTGAAAATTCTGTCATAATAATAATATTTTGGTTTCTCTTCTGGTGGTGCCATATCATTAACAAAAAAGAGTCTTCCCATCCTAGTCATTAACACTTCATAATGCTTGAAAACTGTGATGTTTGATACACAAAAGCAAAACCGATTGTTATGTTCTCGAAATATGGAGTTACTTTGGTGATTGTTGAAAAAGTAATTTATTATTCCAGTTGATTGAATACTTATCTATATGATCATTTATATGTGCAGGGTAGGGCGCCTTAAGACCTTCAAACATTGAGGAATAATTAAAAATCTTTGAAATCGTAATTGCATACTTTATAATCTTTATTCTTTCTTGAAGACTGTTCATAAATCATTCGGTTTGATGGTGTACCTTTTGATTCAGCAACTCTTAAATATGCAGAAAGTAATGAAAAACTTTTGTAGTAACTATTACCCCCAAAGAATCTTATGAAATTGTATAACTAACATTATTGGTTTTAATGTTCTTTGGAGTTAAGTTTTGAAGTTGCATCGAATGTTGAATCTTATATTCTTAATATATATTTGTTTCTCCATTTTGAAAAAAAAATATTTTATTATTCCTATTATTATTACTATTATTGTATGTTGTTATTTATATTATAGCACATTCAATAAATGATGATAAATTTAATAATAAAAAAAAAATAAAAAATAAAAAATTCAAAATTAATTTTTTTAATTTTTTTTTTTTCTAAAAATAATTTTGCACCACCATAAACATTATTTTATTATAAACAACTAAATTTTAAATTTATATAAATAAAAATAAATAAAAAATTAAAATTTTTTTATTTATTTATTATAATGTGCTTTATTTATACCTGTGTCTATAAACACACCTCCTTGATAATAAAATGACAATAAAAATAAAAAGCAATCAATGATATTAATTCAATATATTAAATAATAATATAGGTTTTCATTTTTAAAAACTAAACTCCAAAATCAAAAGAAAAGGTAGAATTTAAAACATTTTATTCTATAGAACTAGATTACATCAATATTAGATTTTATAATATTTTTTTTTCTTTCTTTCTTATTTTTTTTTTAATTCATTAATAACTTAAAAAAACTATATAAAATTATTATTTTTTTTTTTACCACATCTATAGATTAAAAAATCACCTTCTCTATCAAATAATGATTAACAGTTAATTAATTTATCACCTATACAAAATACTCCAGGACTTGTTTAAATACACCATTCGAGAATTACAGGTCTATATGAACAATTTAAAAAAAGCTCCCCCAAGGTATTTATAAATAATATTTTATAAAAAAAATAAAAATTTTTTTCAAATATTAATTTTATTATTATATCAATTTTTTAATTTAATTTGTTTTGTTATTTTATTTGTTGTGCACTAGAAATAATTTATCTATATTTATATTTTTTTCTTTATAAAATAACCCTATTTAATAATTAATTAAATTTAATATTTGTTCTTATGTAAATTGAATAATTATTAATTTAAATTCAGTTGTATGCATCATAAAATGATAAAAAATCAATTAATAAATTTTTTTTTTTTTTTTTTTTAAAAATCATTTTTAAAATGAAATAGTTAGTATAATGTTTTGGATATCATTTAAAAGAAAATTAAATAAAAAATCGAAATAAAATTAAAAAAATGATCAATAATCAGTATAAAAAAAAGATATAAACTAAATTATTACTTTATAATTATTTTTTTTATTTTTTTCAATATATTATAAAAAAAATTAGAATTTTCAAAACAGTTCTTTCTTTTTATAAAAATTTTTTTTGTATTTATTTGAATTTTTTTTTTTTTAATTTTTAAATTTCATTACTGAAACAAATTATTACAATCATAATAAAATAAAATGTTTTCATTAATGGATTTAATTTTCTATTTTTTTGCAGTACTAGTTATTCTATACTGCAAATTTTCAACCAATAATAATGACCAACAAACCCAACAAACCCAACAAACCCAACAACAACAAACCCAACAACAAACCCAACAACAACAACCACAACAAACCCAACAACAACACCCACAACACACCCCAACAACCCATTATAGTTTAGTTGAGGATATTGATGAAATAATCCAACAACAACAACAACAACAACATCAACATCAACATCAACAACAACATCAATTTCAATTTCATTATCAACATCAACATCAACATCAACATCAACATCAACATCATCAACTACAACTACAATATACACCACACCCACACTCACAACCACAAATTGTTCCAACAACCTATTCTAATTTTGATGAGGAGTTAGATCAAAAAAACAAACAACAAAATCATCATCAACACCAATATCAAAATCATCATCAGGATCAGCATCAACATAATCATAAAAAAAGAGAAAAAGGCGATGGACACGAAACAAGAAATAGAAAGAAGAGGTAAAACAAAAGGGTCCATGAGGCTTGGAATGAGTTTGATGATAATAGAAAAAAGAAGAAATCAAAACTCATAATGAATGGGTCCAACTCTTTTAT